TCGACACGCACAAAACGAGAAGTCGTACCAGCACAGACTTTGTCGTGTTGGCAGCGGAGCCCCTCCGGGGGCCCGCAGGAGAGTTGACCAGGATGCTGACTGAGGATGATGACGATGCATCCATGCCCTCACTTTGGCCCTGTGAAGACACTTTCCTGCTGAGCCATAGCGATTCAGGACCTCGCTGGAAATGTGATTGGTGTGGTGGCCTAGAGTTCCTGGCACTTGGAGAGCGTTGGCGTTGTAGGCGTTGCGGCAGCTTTGATTACCATGAAGCTGCATCCTCCGGTTTTGAGGACTTGTCCGGACAAGATAGATCTTGGACCTGGACTCCTTCAGATGCGACTATTCCCCCGTCTTCAACGACACCTCCTGTGTTCAGTAGACCTATGGACCCGAGACCACCAAGACAGCAGTCAGCTAGAGATGAATCCCTTCGCACCAATTGGGACTTCGGACCTCCCTCAGAATGGGACGAGCAGGAATACGGTGCTCGTTCCGAGAGCAACATGACGAATGACCCAGAGGTGAATCCGGACACACTGCAACCGGAACCTCACTTGAGCAGGAGACAACGACGTGCAGCCCGTCAAGCAGGAACACCAAGACCTCAGGAGACACCTCGACATGGAGCACCTGAGCCACAAATTCCTCAGATTCCTGTTGGCAGGTCAGCAAGAGCACCAAGAGCACCAAATGGACCAGGCGGCCCTCCGGTTGATCCACCTTCACGAGGAGGTCGGACACCTTCCGGCTTGCCAGCCGGGAGCCCTTCCGTTGGCGGTGGACCTCGAGTGGCACTTCCAGGCGGATCCCCACCTGGTGGACCGCCATCTGGAGGTGGCGAATCCTCTTCATCGAAGAGCTCATGGAACAGCAAGAAAGGCCCTGAACCCGGAGTCAAATTCCGGGGCGGCGCACCACCAAGCCCACCGGTGTGGGCTTACAGTCGTGAGGACCTTCGTGCTTTCAGCAAATGGGAAAGAAAGGTCCGAGTCTGGCAAGTCCAGATCAGGGCGTATCTTCCTGCCAATGAAGCCGCCATGGCTTTGTATGTGAGTCTCCGTGGAGAAGCCGAAGAGGAGCTGGAACATGCAGATCTGGCTTCCATCAACCACCGGGACGGGATCGATTTTATCCTGGACTCTTTGCGTGCACCTTTGATGACCAAGGTCATTTATTTGAAACGTCGCTATCTCCACGAGTTCGAACAAGTCAGTCGTTTTTCAGGTGAATCCGTCAGGTCGTTTTGCAATCGGTATGCCCGCATTGAGAGAAATCTTCGTTCAGTGCAGATCAACATTGAGGCCATGTACGACATGGAAAGCAGAGGCAGCAGGCTTTTAGACCGGCTGCGACTGACGTTGGAACAGCAGCGTTTGATACTCACCTCCACTGGACAAGATCTCGACATCAACAAGATCCGCGAAGCCGCTATTCTCCAGTTTCCTGACCATCGTCCGACACCTCCCACGGTTTTTAGCCGTGAGTTTGAGTTTGATCGTCGAGATCGAGGAGCTGGCGATGACAGTCGACCTTTCCAGCCTCACCCCAAGGGTCGAGGCAAAGGACATCCCAAAGGCAGCAAAGGTGGTCGACCTCGGCAGACCTACGTTGCAGAGCATGCCAGGGACGATGTCCCGACGGATCACAATGAAGATGAGCTCCCCACCATCGATGAGGAGCCTGCTGACTGTGCAGACGAGCCCAATGACAACGACAATGAGGCCTTCGAGGAAGGCGAAGAGGGTGACGACTTGGAGAACGATGATGGAGGCCCAGAAGAAGATGGCCTGCAAGACATTGTGGATTGCCTCACTGTTACCGCTCGACGCCTGCAAGGCCTGACACTAGGCCGGAAATACACTGGGAAAAGGAGCATCCAAGACAGAAAGAGAACCAGCCACTGCGCCATCTGCGGAGAACGCGGACACTGGCAGGGGGACCCTGAATGTCCCATGTCAAAGAATGCAGCGCCCTCAACTTCATCTTCGAGCTCGAAAGGTTCTGGCAAAGCCAAATCCAAGTCGAAGGACGCAGCGAAGACCGCTGGAAGTAAAAAGGTGTTTGCAGTCAAGTTCGCAGATGGTGTGACAAAGGAGACGGAACCCCACGAGACCATCCACAAAGAGGAGACCTATGGCACCTATTTTACTTTTGTCACATCATCGACTCCGTTGTGCAGGGCTCCCTCAACCAACATCCCACAGGTTCTCATGTCAAACCTTACTGCCTATGGGGGCTACATGGTGTTAGATACAGCATGCCAACGTACCTGTTGTTCAAGTTCATGGCTCAACAACCATGTGAAGTCCCTCACCAAGAACCGGTTGAAGCTGAAGGAAGTTGAAGAACACGAGCCCTTTCAGTTTGGACACGGTGAACCCCAATATAGTTTCAAGAGATCGTTCATTCCAGCTGGCCTCAACCAGACACCAGACGGCCTTTGTGTGATCGGGACAAGTGTTTTGGACACCAGCGAGAACAACAAGATCCCACTATTGGCCAGTAACTACCTCCTCACTCACCGGCTGAAGGCCATCATCGACCTTCCACGCCGGCAGCTGGTATGCCAGGCGCTCGAATGTACGATCCCGATCGTTCAAGTCGATGGACATCTTGCAGTTCGCATTGATTTGTTTCCTCAGCACGTTCACACCCTTCCATGTTGGCGGCATGTGAGTGATTCAGATGTTTGGAACAAGTCGGATTCTGAGTTGATTTTGTGCTCGCAGCAATTCGACGATTTCAAGGAGCGCCATTCCGGAACACCTCGTGATGCCACGCCAGCAGCCTCCACTTTGGCTTCAAGCATGGCGCCGGTTGGCCTCGACCTTCCTGAGCTTCGAGAGCACTCTGGTTCACTTCATGATGCGAGCAATCCAGTTGGGTCTTCGTCCTCGTGCCTGGCTGGCACATCAGGACCCTATGAACGTGGAGATCCTCACCGGCCTTCAGGACCTGGCATTGAAGCCTTGCCAACATCCCGCCAACATGATCCAAAGGAGCGGGAATCGACACGGCCGGTACGCCCGGTGCCGAGACTGCAACATGAAGTGGAAGTGGAACGAAAGCAAGCAGGATTGGGACGAGCAACCTTTCGCAAAACGCTCGTCGCTGCCCTTGCCCTCTTCGGAGAACTCCTTGGTGGCTATGATGCCCTCTTCCACAGCCGCAGCTCGACAACTGGCAGATCCACCACTGACCTTGATGGGATCGGCCTCGACTTCACTGGTGCCTCCTCTTTTGAACTCTCAGCCCAAGGTCCTGCCGACACCTCGTCCTCGCTTCAACATCAGCAAGATGGCAACTCGCAGGCGAAGCCCGTCCAAGAGACGCAAAGAGGAAGAGGCGGAAGAGTTTCAGGATCCCATCCAGCAGGTGCCGGACTCAGAGGAGGAGTACGCGTGGGATCTGGTGGGATGAAGAACGGCAGCCGAACTTGGCTGACTGGACACCTCCGACACCACCAGAAGATCTACGACAGTGAAGTGGCCACCTATGAACAGATACCCAACCATGTGGACATTATGAAGTATAACTCCAAGATCGATTTGCTCGAGATTTTCTCTGGCAGCGCTCGGCTGACGACAACGGCATGTCGATATGGCCTCAATGCACTACAACCTTTCGATCTTCGAGAAGGCATTGATCTGTCCACTCCAGAGGGGCGTGAACTGACCCTTCATGCAGTACGACACCATCGACCCCTTCTATTACATGTGGCTTGGCCTTGTAAGCTTTGGAGTCTCTTCAATGAGAATATGAACTGGTCTCACAGGTTGGCTGACCTGGAGGTCTTGCGAGAAGAGGAGCGAGTTTTGGTCAAGTTCACTGCCGACCTCTGCAAGGAGCAACATGCTCATGGACGCCTGTTTTTGGGCGAGAATGTGCTTCGCTCAAGGCTCTGGCAAGAGCCCATCATCGAGGACCTGGCCCGAGAGACCGATGCAGACTTCAGTACTTGTGACGCTGGAGCCTATGGAGCAGAGAGCATGGACGGCTTCCCTGTGATCAAGCCCCATCGGTGGATTTCAAATTCTCCAGTGATCCTCTCAGAGCTCAAGAAGCACCTCACACCTGAGCAGAAGCACTACACCAAACCAGTCGAAGGAGCTGACACCCAACGAAGTGGTGAATACTGTCAAGGCTTGGTGAACGCCATACTTCGTGGTCTCCATCGTGAAGCCAAACAACGGAATCCAGCACGGTTCCACAAGGTCAAAGAGGTGTACTATGTTCGACCTTTGCAGGACCCACGTCGTTGGAAAGCACTCCTCGACCAGCTGGACAGACGCTTCGACAACACCAGGACGAGAACATTCGACCTTAACAAGACCGACCCTGTCTACGAGGAGCTTTGTGCACTTGTGCCTTGGACCATTGAGAAGGTGCAGGTTTCACTGACTCCAGCGGCTCGCCGTTGGCCTGGGTTCAAGATACCTTTCACACACAGAGGCGCTGGTCTCAAGATGGCTGACGGCAGAGTGATCATCGAGTCCGAGGACATGTCTGCCGTGAACTATCCTCAGCAGCGGTTCTCACAACCTGTGCGATTGGGTGTGTTTTTCTTTGGAGCCGCGCCTGATGAGGATGAAGCTACAGCATCTTCTTCAATGCCGGCACCTTCACTGGACTCTCAGGTGTGGTCGAAAAGAGATTTGGCGGCCACGCAACTCCAGACAACCAAGTACGGCGGTCCTGCTTGGCACACAGTTCACCGCAGAGTGACAACCAATTTGGCCACTGGTGAACTCATCCAGGACCTCGAGAACCCTTTCCAACAACCAGATCGACTCGTCCACAAGAAGCTACGACCTCCTCGCGACATTGAGACCTTCTTTTACCACAGGCCTATGCTTCCAGGAGGTCATGAAAACCCAGGAGCTGCGGAGGATGGGCTAGCCGCGGAGGAGGCGGACGGCTTTCCCTCCAGCACCCTGGAAGACGGCGCGTCAGGAGCTGCAGAAGACGGGCCAGCCGCGGAGGAGGCGGACGGCTTTCCTTCTAGCGCCCTGGTTCCGGGCATGAAGACTGACATTTGGTTTGACAAACCACCGCCCAGGATGACTTCCGCACTCAAGTCATCGGTTGCTCGACTCCATTGCAACCTTGGACATGCGCCCAAAGAAGAGATTGCAAGACTTTTGGCAGCCTCGAATGCCCTGACACCCAAGCTTTTGTCCGCTTTGGATGCTTTGAGGTGTGGCAGCTGCCTTCGGACCGCAAGACCAAAGCGGCCCGCTACTTCGTCTACTAGCACAGTGTATGCTGGTTTCTTTGGAGAAGTTCTGCAAGCAGACATTGTTTATCACCGCTTGTTGTCAGGCGAAGCCATTCCTGTTTTGGGCATCGTTTGCGAAGCCACCAACTACCATGCGGCCAAGGCCTTGAGCAGTCGCTCACCACAGGTGGTTTTGGAAACTTTGCTGGAGATTTGGTATCGACCACTTGGCCTTCCTCACAGGTTCCGTTGTGACCCCGATGGAGCTTTTCAGAGTGTGGTGGCACAGTGGCATGCGACTCATGGAATACTCCACGAGGTCATACCAGCTGAGATGCACAACAGAATTGGCAAAATAGAGAGGCGGAACGCCTTGCTCAGGACACTGCTTGAGCGCCTGACTGATGAACACGCCTGCAGCACCGTTGAACACCTTCAGCACTTGATTGTGGCAGCATTGTACGCTCTCAATGCGTGCACCTTCACCTACGGGAGAAGCCCATTTCAAGCTGTGTTTGGCAAAGTGCCACGGCCCATTGGAGACATCTTGAACGACGAGACCATGTTGATCTACTCGCCCGATGAGACAGAGCGAGCATACCGGCCAGAGATCTTGAGAGCTGATGCACTCAAAGCGCTTGCAGAGACGAGCGCAAACCAGGCTGTGAAGCGGGCCATACTTCGCAAAACACGGCACACCCAGGATTTCAGTGCACTCCAACCAGGACAGACTGTTGCCTACTGGAGATGGTCTGGCAAGTCCAGACAGCTGAAGAGAGGCTCTTGGAACCTAGCCCGTTTTTTGGCATTTGACCCCGACCGCAGGAGCTGTTGGATTCAGGTCAATACACACACCGTCAAGATTGCGATCAGCCAACTTCGAATCGCAAGTGGCTGGGAGACTTGGAGTCCATCAGCTGAAGACGTGCGCTTCTTGAAGGATGCCGAAAAGACCCTTCAGGAAGGACTTTGGCACGATGGCACTGAGGAAGCACCTGGACAACATGAAGAACAGTTTGCTGATGAGGCCATGGACACTGAGGTCCGTCAGTTAGCACCAGAAATTCTTCCTAGACAGCGTGACTACTGGCAGCCCTCCGACTCAGGAGCTACAAGAGTGCATGTTGAGCCACGTCATGAACTATATGTTCCCCTACCACATCACGGCTGTCCCCTTCCTCTCGACATGTTGGCAGACGATCGCCAAACATTTGTCCACGAGTTTGAAGAACAGCCTGAGATGGACAACTGGCGGGACTCTAGATCCGCCAAGACATACGAACAAGCTTGGACCGGCACTACGACCTTCTTTAAAAGAAGACAACCTGTTGAAGTGGCCAGCCCGGAGGTTTCTGCCGAAGGCACTCTTCTTCCTTCAACGGCTTTACCACCAGCAGGACTACGACTCCCTGTGCCAACTCGAGATGAGGCAGCACGACAGGCCGGGACCCAAGTGATACAGCAACAACAACAGCAGAACTTTGATCAGCGACAGCTGACCATCAACGTGAGCTCACCGACATACCAACAGTTTGGAGCACCACGGACTCCAGTTCCACCAACTCCGAGACGGAGAACGATGAGATCACGCTCACCGGCACCGATCACCAGCAGAGCAGTCCGCGATCACGGACAACACACAGAACAAAGAGCACTGGGACACACTTCACAGACAGAGCTCAACGAAGAACAAAGACCAGCAACTGAACCAGTTGCTGAACCCAATACAACAACAGCACCACAGCACGAAGCCGCAGCAGAGACAGCAGCAGCACCTGCAGCCGCTTCGAGCAGTCAACCAGCAGACACCTCCATGCCTGATGAGCCACTTTTGCCGGAAATGCCGGCCAAGAGGCCCTTCGATACGACGGTGATGTTCAGCCACCGCTGGGACATCTTTGATGACAACACGATGTGTTTGAAGTTCCCTGGCTTTGATGGGAGTCCTGACACTATTGGCTTCCAACGTTGCCAGGTCTACATGAACTTTTACCTCAAGAGTGCCCAGAGGCAGCAGGAGGTGACTGAAGGAGACCCTGAGGTCTCAGATGTGGACTCCTCTGACCAAGACCTCGATGTCAGCAACCAAAAGGTGAAGACACGCCAAGAACAGAAACAGTTCGAGAAAGAGATACCTTGGCGTGACATCATGAAGATGGACCGGATGACAATAGACAAATACATCTTGGCCATCCAGAAAGAATTTGACGGCTGGCAGCGGTGGTCTGGAGTTCAACCAATTCCTGAGGCCGAAGCTGAACGCATCTTCAAGGACAGAGTGCTGCGCAGACGGGCGCTCAAATCCCGTATGGCATACCGCGACAAGAACCGCGGAGTGGGCACACTGGCAGCAAAAGCTCGCTGCGTTCTCATCGGCTGCGCCGACCCCGACTTGACATCCTTGTCACGGGACAGCCCGACACCTTCAAGGACATCGGAATTCTTGCTTTTGGCCATTTTGGCCTCTGGAGCAAATGGACGTTTCAACAACACACCTGACCGATGGCATTGTTGGATCAGTGATGCAAAGAACGCCTTCCTACAAGGCAAGCAGAACACTGAAGAGAGAAACGGCCAGCCTCTCTACATGCAGCCACCAGAGGACCCTTTGGTCAAAGAATCTGGATGTTTTGCAGCCCATCTGTACCTCGTCACTGGCAATTGTTACGGCCTAAGCAATGCACCACGCATTTGGTACAAACATGTATGCACAGTCCTCAGCCAGAACAAGTTCAGAATGCATGACCTGGACAGATGCCTCTTTTACCATGTTTCAGAGGCCACTGGCGAAGAGAAAGTTGACTGTGTGCTCATCATCCACGTGGACGATGTTTTAGCTGTGTACTCAGACAGGTTCTCCCTTGAAATCTTGGAGACCATGTTTGAGTGGGGCTCAGTGACAAAGCTAGATGGTACTAATGAAGGCACCTACCGCGGCAAGGAGATCAAGCTGTTTGAAGAAGCTGGCGAATGGAAGGTCAAAGTGACACAGAAAGAGTTCTGCAAAACTCTTGAACCTCCACGCAACCTTCCTGGCAAGATGGATGACAAGCTGACTCCTGCCGGTTGGAAAGAATTTCGCAGCCTGGCAGGCTGCTTACAATGGCTTGCGAGCCAAAGCCGACCGCCTTTGGCGGCAGTGACAAGCCTCAGCAACAAAGGCTCTGACACCACCTTCCGAGACTTGAAGAACCTCGGAGAGGCCTTGCTGTATGCCCGGGACACTTCTTCAGACGGCATTACCATCCCGGGCATTGTTTTGAACCGCTCCTCCATTGTTTTGGTTTTTGCTGACAGTAGTTGGGCAAACGCCATGAACTTCAGCAGCCAGTATGGCGTCATTGTGACCTTGACACCGTCGCAGGTTTCCGAAGCTGTGACACCATGTGCTGTAGTTGATTGGAAGAGCGGCAGAAGCGCTCGTGTATGCAGGTCGACTCTTGCATCAGAGGCATGCGCCGCTGATGAAGGCACAGATCGTGGAAGCCACATCAACGCGGCTTTGTCAGAGATCTTGTATTTGAAGCCCGCCCATCAATTGGGCAGTCGCATGTCCCAGAAGCAATGCACAGACTGTAAAAGTCTGTACGACTGTGTGATAGCCGAGAACCCAGCTGTTTCAGATCGCCGAAGCCTGCTGCAGATTCGATCGGTGCAACAGTCGGTTCACCCACATGATATGCACTGGGTCCCGACCACCAAGATGCATGCTGATGGGCTAACGAAGGAGGACAAGCGCCTTCGAGATGCCCTGAATTTGTGGCTGCGAAGCCCATGGGCACAGCTCAGAGATGTCGAGCCTCGAACAAAGACCAGTGAAAGTTTGGACTTGTGAGCGATGTCACGAGCTCGACATGTCTGTT